GTCGTTTATCCGAAAGTCGGTTATCCGAAAGAATTCCAGTCGGCCTAAAGTATAATTTTTATTTGTTTTTATATTTTTCAATGTATATATTTCGTTTGTAAAACATAAAGAAATCATTTTTAACGATACAGTAGCCACGATTATTATTTTAAAAAGTTTATGTTAGGCTTAACATCGACGAAAATTCAACGCGAAGCGACACGCAACGGAGAAAAATTTCAGGATGAGATAGGTTAATATATTTTTTCGTACATAATCGGTTATCCGAAAATAAGTTATCCGAACAACCCCAGTCCCCAATTGATTCGAATAAACGACGCTCTACTGTACTTGGACTGCAATTTGAAAAAATTCTCACAGTCGTCCTTCTTTCCTTAATCTCGAGAACGGAGTCAGATACACGAAAGACGATATCCGATGTAGAAAGTTTAGGGGCAGGAAGCCCCGATTAATGGTACATAAGTTATCGATTCAAATCGCGAGTCGTGTTAATTCAATTCAAATGTTTTTCCCCGTAAGCAGTTAGAAACACTACGGTACGACTCTATTGTTAAAGAAAGGTATAATGTACAGAGTCAAGCCACTACTAATTTTAAGAGCATATATTTTAAATTAGAAAATAGATCGAAAGAGGATTAATTTAATCTAGAACTACAGATCTATTGAAAGATATCTGCTGGTGTATAGTTGGGTTCGGGGTTGGCCCAGCACGTTACGGACCTTAACACAATTATCTTTTATGCTTTAGAACGTAATGGATTCTATCGAATAATATATTTTTACTAAGTTTTTAGATTATACTGTATTTTTGACAATTAAATAGTCCGATATGTCTTCTTATTTGCTATTTCAACGTGACAATCGGATTAATTATGCAGTAGAATAAAATAAACTTTAGTTTTCGGTTTGACAGTTCTAGAAATTAGCACGTGATCATAAAAAAATGCTTAATGGTTGGTTTTAAGCATAAACGCTTGAAACAGAACATTCATTTTGATTACAACGTAAATCGTAATGTGGAATCTTCTTCCCTTTGATACATCGCATCATCTATATATATAACCCATTCAACGGATGTCTGTCCCGTAACCGTTTGATAATGGACACTAGAGGCGCCCCTATCGTGTGTCATATTTCAAACATTCAAATTAACAAATTTTAATTCTTATTTAAATTAACAATATAAATTTTTATTATTCATTTGGCCAATAAATTATTATTTGGTCAATATAACAATATAAATAATTCAGTATATTTGTAATAGGAATTTATTATTTCAGGGGCTTACATCTCTCGAAGGGTCGCGAGTAGGGGTATGGTTCCTTTGACTTTATTGTTAGTACAGGGATCTACGGTTTGGGGGGGTCGCCACCTCTTCATTCGGATGGTAAATCTTACCATTCGGACTTTAACAGAGCTTAGAGCATATCGATAAGAACAAAAAAGTCAAAGGAACCGTGTCTCATGGAAATTTGTAAAGAACGCCCACTAGGGGGCGTCCCGAGCTACTAGTCCTTTATAAATGAAAATTATATTATAATCAAATATATTGTTCCATTTGCAGATTACCCCAATTGTGCCAGTGATCAAACTTACTGTAAAAATAATAGGAAGTGTATTCCATTAAAATGGTCATGCGACGGTTACGAGGACTGTACGGATAGTTCTGACGAACGCAATTGCCGTATGTTATAATTGTATTTACATAAATATTATTAATAATCAGCTATATTTATATAATTATTCTATTTTATTTTAGTAACAGAAGTTTATGGAATCGAATATCTGCATAGAGTAAGACGAAGTATAGATAGGGGGCATTCTTGGTTGATCGAGCAACGAAGGTCAGATTGGGGTTGGGGAAAGGACACGAGTCGAGCCATTGTCACACTCGGTCTCTCTGATAATCTGGATTTCGATACAAAAGATATAAGTCAATTAATGTTTAAACAACTGAAACTTCAACTTTCTGGAACTTTACTCACGTAATAGAAAATATTTTGTACTCGACGATTGATTACAGTCAACCCCCCTATAACACTGTTGATAATTCCGTTTTATATGAATTCCATGTTGTACGAGTCACTTAGATTTTACAAATAAGTGAGCCGTTCACAGCTCGGCACACGTATTTGTAAAATCTAAGTGACTCGTACAACATGGAATTCATATAAAACGGAATTATCAACAGTGTTATAGGGGGGTCGACTGGTACTTGTTTTAGGTAAAAGTACGAGTATATATATATTTTCAGAAAGGGCATAGAAAATATGGAAGCATACGAAATAGCATCGTACGTACATTCGTTACTGGCAATTTGTTCCGATCCGAGAAACTTTCAAGGATTCGATTTAGTGGAAGTATTGAAAGAAAAAATGGAAAAGACAGAATCAATTAATCCTATGGTCGCATTGGCAATTTGTAATGCCAATCAAATTCTTCAGTCGCGGCAACTAAAGAAATTAGAACTTACATTAACGAAGAAAGATTCACCTCACTTGACAGGTAATGATATCTCTTTTGATTAGTATAAGAGTTTATAAAGAGAAAAATTATGTTTTTATGCTAATATCTTATTAATTTTATGTATATGTTTTGTAAGAAATTAATTTTCTTAATTAATCAGATTATATTCTTGCCGTGGTATGTATGGAATTAGATACTTTTCAAGTTTATGATACAGATGAGTACCTATGGTAGAATATACCTAAATGAAGCTACGTAAAGCTGTAGATAACATAGATATAATAGCATTTAATGACATTTTGTCAAAAGATTTGTCCCAATTTATGTACTTCTATTTTAGTGCAAAAAATAAGAAATTTCTTACATAAATGCAACGATAACAAACAAAGCATTAATAATTTCGTTTTTACAAATAAACATTCAGAAATTTAATATAACAAGAATTTCTGATAATACAGAGTACAGTAGACCCCCTATAAAACGGATTCATATAGTTCGGATTCTTATATGACGGCGAAAAGAATTGCGACCGTATTCGTACAAACACGCTAAAAAAAAACTCTTATAATTCGGTAAAACGTCATCGCCGACTCGAGTCGCGACAGGATTGGTCGAATCCAGACCAATAGCGGATATTGCACAAACCGTTGAGTTTAAACGAGCAGCTGACCTACTAAAAACCATTTATTATTTAACGTCCATAAAAATTATATTTATATTAATGATGTCTCCAAAGTTCAGCGAATTTTTCGCAGAAAAATAATTTATCAGAAAACAATCACTCACCGATGCGCCACTCCGCGTTGAAAACAAGCTTAAGCAATGGCGTCGTCAAACGGTGCACACTCGGTAAGTAATCGTACGATTTTTTGTTTATAGCGTAGTTCCCAAAAAATTATACGTGTTTTGGAAATGTTGAGTCAAATTAGTCTAGAATCGATTNTTTCGCCAGTGCTGTGGCGCTGCAATCTTTGGCTATGTCTTAGGCTACTCAAATATTTTACGTTTTCGATACTAAATTAACTTCTGAAGTATAATTTTTTATTGTATTTATATTTTTCAATATATTTATTTTGTTCGTACAAAATAAAAAACAAATTTAACGATACAATAGTCTTCGTTAGGCTTAACATCGACGAAAATTCAACGCAAAGCGACACGCAACGGAGAAAAATGTCAAGATGGGATAAATTGATATATTTTTTCGTACATAATCGGTTATCCGAAACATCGATCTTCCGAGCAACCCCAGTCCCCAATTGATTCGGATAATCGACGCGCTACTGTAGTCTAGAATCGATTTATTTTATGGAAGAAAACCTTTCAAACAGCCATAGTCCGTAAACTGCATACGTTCCGGGCTGTGATTGGCTCGTGTATTTAAGGACTCGTAGAAAATGGATTCATAAAAACCGGAACGTATCTACCGTGTTATAGGAGAGTCGACTGTATTTCTTTATATTTCGAGAATAAAGGAATATAAATAAATAAAAATCTAGGAACATTGCAAAAATTTATTTTTTGATTCTGACCGGTGCATCGATGTAAATATGAAATCATTGTAAAAAAGGCAAATTTATAATTTTGTAATTATTTTGATCGAATTTCTAGTATAATTTAAAAAAAAAAATTTGATATATTTAATTTTCTGCAATCTTGTATAGAAACTCGGGCATATGCTATAATGGCGTTGTGGTGTACGAAGAACCGAATTAAGTCGTATCACATAAACTTTACCAGGAATGAAACTGTTGAATATAATAGAAAAGTTTTAACCTTTAGCGCATTAAAAAGGGAATTAACGACGTTACAGAACGAAGACGGTAGCTTCGGAAATTTATACACAACTGCCATTTTAATGCACGCAAGTTTTTATAATTCGTCACTACTTATATACACTGTAAGTATTTTATTTTATTAATTTTAATACGTCGATTTATGTTGATAGGCGATATTTTCCATGGATTTAAACGTCAGCACCGCGAAAAAATGGAATGTAACGAAAGCCATTAATTATATCATTTCTCAACAAAACCGAGACGGGTCCTTCGGAGATAGTTTGGCAACTTACTTAATACTTCCAATACTGAATGGAAGGACATTCGTCAGTTTGGGAAATATAAATTGCAACATGATAGAACCACGTTGGTATCTTAATTAATTCCTTCGGTATTTACACAATTTCTACATGAAATTATTAATTTTATTATTCAAATTTTCCAGGCAATGTTACGATTCAGGAAGAACTCGATTTTAAAAATCTTCCAAAGCATCGTGTTAGCTACTTTATTTTCGTTGGACAAGATAAAGATATCATTTCTAATATTTTATTAAACGTTCCTGTTAATTCGACATTTTACGATGTCATGCGCTTAGCTTCAGAAGTGGATTATAAATTTCGGTAAGTTACGCAGTTTCTCATTCCCACGTAATTGGGCTGCAATTTTAAAATATTGTAGACAATAAATACTCATTGTCAGCCGTCTGTCTTTCTTTAATCTCGAGAACGGAGTCATATACACGAAAGGCGTGGAAACCTTAGGTGTAGGAGGCTATACATGAACTTCCCACGCAAACCGAAAGTCACGTTATTTCGATTCAAATATTTTTCTCGAAAGGAATTAGATTTTATCGCAAACAGAAAAGTACGATGTACAGAGGCAAGCCACTACTAATTTCAGGTGGAGAGTATATAATTTAAACGAAATCAATTTAAGAAATGCCGTTAAAACTTAGCGACAATGGATTCTTGAAATACAATAGTTACACTCGATACAAAAAACAACACAATAGAAAATAATTTAGTTATATCCTTTGAGAGATTATTATATCAGCAATTTTCTGTATTAAGATTAATTAAAATTGTATTATTTGATACTAATTCAATCATTTTTCTTATATTAAAACGACATTTAAATCATTTCAGATTTAAATATATTGATTATCCGTGGGGTAAATATATATATTCGATATTTGGCCTAGTCAATGATGCCGAGAAGAGAAATTACTGGCAACTTTATAAAGCAGTGGATAATTCTACAATCTATTTTGAACAATGTAAGCATTTCCATTTATGTATTTTTTATATAATTTTTGTTTTTCACACGTTTCACAAATGTGCCATTTTTATACATTTTGCAGCACCCGATAAAGTGATTCCCGAGGAGGACGATGCATACGTTTACTGGTATAAACCATTGAGTGATTGAAAAATTTACGGTGTATATTTCGTTGTTTTATTATGCATTAAACGCAATGGCAGTAAAATTGAGATTTACTGCGAAACATAATATATTATCGAATATATTATCCAATTTATATATACAAAATTAAATATATCTATCATAAACCATAATTTTCTGCGTGTAATCCTTTGGTTATGTTTTTACAAGTCGATCTTAACGTGGATGCGGGTTATGCCAGGATAAAAATTATGCCAAAGGATTTACTATAGTTTCGTAATTGCTAATTAAACCGTAATTCAGAAACACCAGAACCTAGCTTTTCTAGATGTTTCTGAAGTTTACTTAGGATTTCTTTTTATAAAATTCTGGATTTTTGTCCTTTTCGTTTTGTCATATTTTCGGTCCGTTTCTCTTCGGAGCATTTAACAACACGCCTCTATCATGCATTTGATAGTAATTCCTGACGAAAAGAATTAACATTTATGGGTCCGAAGTGCATTTTGGGAAGCAAATAATAAAACAAATAGGTGAGCATTTTCTGGTAACTAGGTTCAATTATATTTCAGGTATAACAAGTCTAAAAAATTCATATTGCAAAGTAGAGGAATAATGAAAAAATAGGAAATATAACATACTTTATTACGACCAGACAGTGACAGATGCTCTATACTTTTGTCGTACTCCAAGTGGAACAACGTCAACGCTTTCTGTCAATCACTTTCATACCAGATGTTGTGCTTTCACATATTAGACCCGAATGTTTTTTCGACTGTTGAGAGAATTCCAGTTCCGGAACTACCAGCACATTCTCCACTTTGTACTTTTATGAATACAGCTTTTAACGGAACAATTAACTTTTTATTTGGATTTAAATATAAAACTAATTGACAATGTTCCGCATCTTTTAAGGAACAATGAAATTAGTTTGAGTATTTTAAATTTATAAAGATATTCTAAAAATAATAATTTTCGTGCATCTAACAACGCTAATAAGAATACAACACATTTGCGTAGGAATAATCACGTAGATAAAACAGGTTTTGAATAAGACATGGAAACTTGCAACACGAAAGAATTTGTTCTGTGCATATTATTAATTTAATAATCCTAACGACTACAGACTGCTCTCTTTTAATCGCATTGTTGGAAAAATATAAGAAATTTTTGAAAATCGGCAGTACAGTATATATATATATATACTGCCGATATAGTATATAGTATATTTATAGTATATAGACTGCCAGTATATATGTATATGTTACCGGCAGTCTATATACTATAAATATACTATACTATATACTATATCGGCAGTATATATATATATATACATACACACTGTCTAAATAATTGTGAAATCAATTTTGCCCTATATGTAAATACGCACAAGCATTAGTATCTTCTATGTTTATCAATGATAACAGTAATTATATCTCACAAGGAATTTGAATTTCATTCATGCAACTTTTCTCTCCAAAAATTCTAATTCGAAACCAGTAAATGTAAATCATCACATACCACAAATTATTTAACAGAAAGAAAGAAAAATGTTTACTTTTATAATCAAACAACAGATTAAGTATTATTAACAGCCTAATATTCAAATGGCAGTAAACTGATGAGTTCACAAACACTTTAATTTGCTGAGAACAAGTCTACTTCTTACAGACACTAGCAACGAATACGGAAAAGATATAAATTTATAGAAGCAAAGTAATGGACAGATGCCCGAACGCAAGACATGCAACAGTGTTACCGTCAGATTGAAAATATTATATTGTATATAAGAAAGTAAGATATGGCAATTCATAATGCCCTTAAAGCTAAGTATTATCTTTACATTTTTGGGCTCAGGATACCTTGAAACGTTGAGAAATGCAAACAAATTCGGAGTTTTTTTGTATGTATAGTTAGTGTGTGTAGGGGGCACGAATACTACAGTAGTTTCAAGACGACAAGTCACGGCTTGTCGTCTTGAAACTAGTATTAAATCGAATAGATAGGCCATATTTTTGTTGGCCTTGTCAGCTTCTCGGCATCGAAATTTCAATTTCTGCCAGTGTAATAACCGACTTGGAAAAAACTTGACCTATACGGTATACCTAGCAGTTTGTTTGACAAACTATACACCTTTCCTACACCCGCAAAATAAAAATGTGAGAAACGAAGGGACTCTCAATAAAGTGTTATTTTAAACTAATCATTTTAAAATCGATGATAGGTTAAAATCCATAAAAATTATTTCCCACGGACTTGTTTCCTTGTTGAGGATGATCCATCTAATCATTAGTACGTCACCCGGAACTTTATCAGTATTGGACGCCAAACCCCTAACAACAAACTCCTGACCTCATGGAAATAACCCAGAAGGAACCCAAATAACAAGTGAGAGCGATGACAAATCCAGTCAGTCGTCCTGCAAAGATCGCCTCCTCAAGAGTTTATACAGTGGAAAATACCGTGCATCCGCCGATCTTATCATAAGGATATTTTACACACCTAAGTACCTCAACACAAGTCGGATACCTCCCTCCGAAGTAGCTCCTGTTACTTAAACACTCTAAATATCAAGAACATTCCACCGAACACCCCAAGAATCCCGACGGTGAATCATCCAGTCATCAGCCCCATTGTGGACCTGGCCGAATCCATAAATGTAAATGTACGAAAAAAAAAATGTACACGATTCATAACGAAAGAAAAATATAAAAATAAAAGAAGTAAAAGTATTTTGTATTGATACAAAGGCAAGAAACAAAAAGCTATTAAAAAGAGATTATTTAAAAAATTCCGCGATTTTACGACCCCCTCCGGATTCGATCCCGGATCCCATAGCAATAGGCTGCCCCCTTAACTACTCGGCCATTCATATAAAAAATGTTTAGAAAACGAATTAAATTATCTTTAATTATTACAAAACTTTACGAAAGAAAAATATTCCAATAAAATCTTAATACATTAGCAAATCTTAATTTTAAATTTCATTATTAAAATTAATAGTTTTTTTCTTTTCTTTTTAAGGGAAAATTTCCGAAAACAATTTTCGTACACCAGATGGCGGTATGAGTAGCGGCAAGATCGTTTTGTAGTCGTTTGGCATGTTTGGTTGATACGAGGAGTAAGTCGTTTTTATGAAAAATTTATTTATTTTACATTTAGTAAACAAATTTACAATATCTTTTTATAAAGTAAGGTCATTTTATGAATTTAGCAAACTATTTTAAGGTAATTTGTGTATTTATACGCCTATACATTAATCACTTAAAAGTTACTTGTATCCAATCTCTGTTAGTACAAAGCTTAGATTTTACTTTATAATGAAGATTTGAATTATATTTACGTCACAATAAACAATTGCTCGTTCCTTAATATAACTGAATAAGAATCTGACTATTTGAATTAATTAAATTAAACTCAATTAAAGGACCATCAGTAGGGGGTTCATAAAACAAGACATAATGTTACAATGAAATATTTGGGTTAAAGTGTACCTAGGTAACACCAATGGTGGCGCTTCTGACTGTTTGTGCTCTTGACGGACTCCTCCGGGAGGGGAGCCGGCGTCGGGCCGCCGAGTGTTTAACGTCACTCACGGTAGTTCTTGAACAAAATAAAAAAAAAAAAGGAAACTTAGACTCAGGGCTGTGGAGTTGCGTAAAAATCTACCGACTCCGACTTTTCCTTATCATCTGACTCGACTCCGACTCCGGCTAAAACACCAAAACTCCACGACTCTGACTCCGACTCCGACTCAACAGCCCTGCCAGGGCTGTGGAAGTTGCATAAAAATCTACCGACTCCAACTCCGACTCCAACTTTTCCTTGCCATCCAACTCTGACTCCGGCTAAAACATCAAAACTCCATGACTCCGACTCCAACTCCACAGTCCTGCTTCGACTAAAAATATAGTTATTGTAACCTAAGCTAACCGAAGTGCTGCCATTGGGGTTACCTAGGTACACTTTTCTGTAACAACTGTCACATCATCATCATCATCATCATCATACCTTGCTGATATAATATTTTATTAAAATAATTTTTGTTTTACAGTCTAATAAAACAATGGATACCGATTTATATGATGAATTTGGAAATTATATTGGTCCCGAATTAGAAAGTGAATCGGAAGAAGAAGAAGAGGAATACGACAGGCAAGATGCTGACGTTCAGGAATATCACGAGGTTTGTGGCAATTTTACAAGATACGTGCAACAAAAAAATATTCGGTATAACATAGTATGTGGAAGTGACAAAATCAAAACAGTTTCAAATGTTGAATTTGGCTGTCAAAATCTATATTTAATTCTTTAATTAGACAGATAAATAAGGTATTTTATATTCATGAACATATTATCTGCTACATAAGACCAAAAACTATTTTGAAGGTATTTTGGTGTTTTTTTTTTGTATTTATGCTACCAATTTACATGAATTAGATTAGTATATTAATTGCATTTTGTAATTGTTTTGCTTTGCATTTCAAAATCAAATGAATGTTAATTAATGTGTTTGCATGAGATTCATTAGTTTTTGATGAAATGTTTTGATTTTTAATGTTTGTTCAAATTTTACTTTTTCTGCAAATTAGTGTCAAAGTAAATAAAATTAAAATTGTTCTTTTGTTAATGATATATTCATGATCTTATTTCATTATCAATATAATAACCAAAGTGTCTTTGTTTGCTTGATTGTTTGTTTGGTTTCATTTGTTGTTTTTCTTTCTCAATGGATGGCAGTACTTCATAACACGTTGTAATACAGTCAAAGTTCCCTCTAAGCTGCATGGCTGCACACTACTCAAATTGTTGCCGCGCACATGAATTTATGTGCTGCGCAGGTGAGTGTGCACACTGATATGAACTGGTTATTATTAGATAAAAATGAACGCCACAAACACCTAAGATACCAGCAAGAAAATTAAACACAAAGTGCAAATGTGTTCGCCCTGTGTTAAATGGATATCATCAGGCAAGCAAACTGCTGAGAAAAACACCGGGGTTTGCCGAACACGTGTGAAGGGGTGGGGGTATTGATGTAATACTACGTTCGCACACAATCCATGACTCACTTCGATCTCGATTTACCCACAATCTGGATTGTGACTGTCACTAGTCGAACGTCGTGCTGTTCGCACAGGCAGTCTGCTCGAGAAGAACCTGGCTATTACACGCGATCATAAAACTGACGTAACTACGCGGTAAGTCACAAACACCAACAAACAAAATGGAAGTTTTGGTTAGAAATAAATACTTTTTCTTGCCGTACATCTAATAATAGACAGATGTCGTCATCTCTCCAGCTGTCTTTTTTATTTCTCTGTCGATAGCCCGACACGTGTTCCGCAGCCATCTTGTATTTTCTTGCGCGCGTGGGATTGTGGGATCTCTCTTATGACTGGATCTAGTTTCAAGAACTCTCTCTCCAGTCAATCTCGATAGAACCTCGTTTCAATCGAGATTGAAACGGTCGAGAGCATTTGCACCACGGAACTCTCTCTGACCTTAGTCACAATCTAGATCGAAATGCTCGGTGCGAACGGGGTATTAAGAGAGGGAAGAGGGGTTTTACAGTTCATAGAACAACTTCCATGCAGAGGGGAATGAGTCATCCTAGCCACATTCCATGATTTATTCATGTTCAAATTGGCATCATTCAGATCATTTATAGAGATTAATAGATAATATTTTGTATGGAAGTATGTTTTAAATGTGAGTAATGGTTTTGATTTACTAGATACTAACGTGATTAATTTTTTCTATAAGAAATTTCATTTGTTTTAGTGTTAACTGTCAAACTATCAATTCACTTTTCATATAAGGATCACCAGTGACCAAGTGGTCTTAGTATCCTAACACTGGGAGTTTGGTCATGGGTTTGTGCCTCGCTCAGATGGGCTTGCCATGTGGAGTTTTTCGGGTTTTCTCCACATCTGTAATGCCTATATAGAGGCCAGTAAGGCATCCCCCTAGGCATATCGCCAAAGTGTTGTGTTGACATAACTTAACAAACAAACAAACTTTTCATATACGTGTATGTGTAACTAAACTACCTTGAATAAGTGACAAGTAAACTCCAATTTTGAATTGATTATTCTTTGGTATTTCAAGGAAAATATTCAACTAATTATGTAAGTTTATAAATATTATTTATTTTAGTATTTTATTTATTATTGTTATGCAAGTGTATTAAACTTTTACTATAAAAACCATGAAATAAAAAAAGTGTAATTTTATATTAAATGTACAGTAACAAATTACACATAATTATACATAAATTATACATAAACAAATTAGAACTGATCGAAAGACTAATTAATAAAATTTAATATATTTCTAGATGTTTAATATTGATCGGTGTTTAAAAATGTTAAAAAGAAAAGAAGCAGAGTTAAAAAATAAGGCTTGAAAATCTTTTAAAAGAGAATGGCCTTCACATCTCGTAAATATTGATGCCCCATTTCAACCAGAAAAACAAAAGACAAAAGTTGGAAATATTTTTAATTATTGTGAAGATATTGGCGAGGTTGTGTGCACCATTTGTGCTAAAGCAAAAATTGGTGGTGAATTTGCTAACGGAAAAAAATGGGAAGAACGGAAGTTAGATTATCTAAAACTACATTTAAATCACAAAATTCATTTACATGCTATTACCACATTAAATAATCAAAACAAATTTAGAATAGAATGTATTTTAAGTGAAACTGTTGAAGATCGAAAAGCAAAAAAGGAGTTTAATCAGAGACTAAAGTCTAATCCTGAAATGATAAAAGTGTTAATTGATAATGTGCTATTGGCAATTAAAATAGATGCTTCTATGAATTCTGTTCAAGAATTCATAGAACCATGACCATGTAGCAAAGTATGTAAAAATACCAGAATCTTGGCACAGCAAAAATTTTGCATTTGAATTCATTGAGTGCATAAGTTTTGTGCTTAAAAATGAGATTATGGACACATTGAGAAAATCTACTTTTCATACATTAATAGTCGATGAAAGTACAGACATTTCTGTTAAAAAAATGTTAATACTATACTTTAAATTTAGACCAGAAATGAGACATTTTATAAAACAGTATTTGGAGGTATTCTAAAATTAAGAGCATGTGACAGTGTGGCTATAACTGAAGAAATAAAAAACTTTTATGTTAAGAATAATATTGATATGCAAAAAATGGTGATGTTTACGTCAGATGGGGCAAGTGTTATGCTTGGGAAAAAAAATGGTGCAGCTGGAATTCTTTGACGGGACATAAAACATTTAACTGAGCAGCAATGTGTGGCACATAGAGAAGATCTAGGAATATATGATGCATGTCAAAAGGTCTCAATAATGCAGGACATTGAAAAATTGCTTCAAACTGTATATACAATGTTCAGTTGATCACCCATAAAAAAACAGAAATTAGAAGAACTTGCTGTTATTTCCAAACATGACATCGTATCCTTTAAGCCACTGAATGAGGTGTATTGGTTATCAAGGCAATTTGCTATGACTGCTTTGATGAGGAATTATGATGCTTTAATTGAATATTGTGAAGAACAAGTAAATAATTTTAATGATCCTACATGCAACTACTGCATAACGATTTTGACAAATCCACAGTATCAAGTGACCTTAACAGTTTTTAATGATGTTTTAGATGATCTAGCATCTCTTTTGCAACTTTTTACAGGAAAGTTGTTTAACTACAGTTGAAGCATTTGACTATGTTAAGGCAAAAATTAATAAATTAAAATCACATTATCTTGGTAACACAATTTATTGCAGTGAAAAAGTAAAAAAAGGTTTTTGAAAAAGTTGGATATGATGTGGATACTGGATCTATTATTCAATTTGTTGAACGTGTATGTAATCATTTAAATAACAGATTTCCAGATGATGAGTTAAAAGACTAGCAAGCATTTAATCTTAATGCCATTTTAAATGCATCGAGTTTTGAATTTGGAAATGAGAATGACAAGCGATTGATTAGAAAATATTCAATAATTTTAAATGTCAATAACAATGAAAGTGCTGCCTCAAAAATATTAGAACAGTATTGAAATTTTAAATTTATTATATCCCAAAAATTCGAAATTGTTCAATTAACACATTCACTGATATGTTAAATTATGTTCGTAATGATGACGAGTTTAAAGAACTAGCAGTTCTTATTGATATCATTGAAACATTTCAAGCATCTAATGTTGACTCTGAACGTGGATTTAGTGTTATGAATCAGTTAAGTGTAAAATCAAAAATAGACTTGAATTGGAGCATTTATGTGATTTAATGAGAATTTGAATGCATCTTTCCTCTGAAGAGGAATTGAATCTTCAGTCAATCTACAAATACTGGATTTCAAAAAAGATAGGTGTGAAAATATTCACCAAAATTGAAATATTTCTTTGTGATTAGTATATGACTAAATAATTTACATTAATAAAAGTTTGTTATAATGAAATAAATTTTAATCTTTACTTCATAATTAATTATTTTAGTTTTTAAAGGAAAAAAATAAGATTGTCTATATATCTGCTCAGCAGAAATTTTTTGCTCAGAGAAGTACATGTTCCGCTCAGCTGCAAAAAAATTAGAGGGAACATTGAATACAGTATTTACTATTTAAAATTACTTTTTACTGTTATGTTGTTAATATTAAATTGTAGTGATGAGATGATTAATTTGAATCGGGAATTGGAAAAATCTTACGTTTTCTGAGTATTGGAATCGAGAAACTCCCGTCACGATTTCCGATTCTTAAAAATGATTCTTCCATATTTTATAAGAAAATTAATTTTTGTTTTAGTCAAAGGTTAAATATTTTTAAAATTATGATATTAACAATTAAATATTAGTTTATTGGAAACTTTCACATTGATAAAGCAGAAAGTATGCAATGGCCAATACATGAGGTGACATCCATCATGGTGAAGTTTTCTTTCATGTAGTCAGTGTCGAGAGATCGCACTTTGTTGGTTCTAACTATTTCCATTTTAGGAGAGATAGGGTGACATTTTGATCACCATCCGGCAATCCATATTCTGTATACAGGGTGTATCAGAATGATGGTTTAAAAATTTGGGGGATTGTAAAGGATGAAATTTTGAACATTTCGATATAAGGAACCTATAGCCGGAAATTTGAACTAAAGTGTCTACAGCACTTTGCACGTTCTATGTGGTCAGTATGCTGAATGAAAC